ACGATAATCCAATTGGTGTCACCATCTTGAAACATCGACTTCGGTGGCTTGTTCATGTTCTACGAATGTCGCCCCAGAGAATTCCACGTCGTGCATTATTTGTCGACTCTGGGACTGGTTGGAAAAAGAGTAAAGGTGGTCAGTGTATGACATGGTGTCGTGGTATGAAAGAAAGCTGCAGAACGGCTGTCCTGTGTTGGTCCTTCTCGACTCTCCGACTGGGGTCGGAGGGATGGTGCTACACAGTGGCTAGAGACGTTATCAGATATGGCTCAGAATAGAAGCCAGTGGCGATCCTGCTGTAGACTTTTACTTTTTTCATAGAAAGTGGTTGTAACTTCCTTAACTGAAATTCTTTCTGGTTGTACCTTTCCGTTACCCCTATTATTATTACACTACCATACACTAATCTGTGGTCGTTATTGTTCTCTCTTTTTTTCTCTTTTTATACGCACCTTACATTCTTCTTCTCTTCCCATTCTCATCGTTTTTGTGTGGCGCATATAAATCTGGTACCACCTCGTACCAACATTTATGTGTTCAAATAAATAAAATAAAATTTCACAAAAATTTTATAGATTAACAAGAATAGATAAACTAAGAGGAACAACTGTTCCTCAAGGCCTACCATGTCAGACAGGTCGGTTGATGAGCGGTAAGACGAAGAGCAACAAACCCAAGGTTCGAAGGCGAAGTCGTACTGTTGACTGTACGGAGGTATGACAGTAGTAAGCTGTTTCCTTCAGACAACCAGCACGACAGCGATGCTGCCTTCTCACAAGGAGGGGTGAGGTTAGAAAAGGTCGACCCTAAAAATGCACACCTCGCCTCATCCCACGGATATCTGTCTTCGGCAGTAAAGTCACAAAAAGTACGGAGCTAACACAAAAATTACCCATAAAAAGGTCGTGCGTGACCGACCTCAAGCAGTTGTCTCTTGAGCACTTTGGTCATGCTCTCGGGTCACTAAGACCACCTCTAATCCTATTTCCTTTACAGGTACCTCCAGAAACCCTTCAAAGGTGTGGGCAACCGGGAAGTGATAACCGCCCTCATACGCCTAACAGCACTCAAGACCACTGTATTCCTGATCAACCTCCGTCTTCACTTCCTATTACTCCTTCTACATCGACTTTCACCTCTAAACTTCCTTCTCAAATGTCACTATAGCCAACGACTCTAGTGCTCAAAACACTGTCCCACATCTACTGAAACCTCGCTCCAAACTACACATTGCAGCCTTCAACGTACGCACCTTATGTCAAATCGGTCAATAGGCTTCCTTGGCTAGAACACTAGAATCTCGTCATTCACTTGACCTCACCTCTGCAAAACGGAGAGCCGACGAGATACGCCCTCCGTGTATCTGGTGACGTGACGACCAGCTCTCGTGGACTGACAGGAGTAGGCATAGCACTAAGCATGAGGGCGGAACAAGCACCGTTAGAGTGGATCCCTGTTAACAGTCGTCTATGTGCTGTTCGGCTAAACGGCTTCCTAAGAACTCGGAAGAACAGGGACACACGTCGTTGCCTTTTTGTCGTCTCTGCCGACGCTCCTACTGACTGTAGCTCGGATGAAGTGAAAGATGAATTTTACACAAAGCTCTCTGAACTTCTTCAGAAAGCTAAACGTCCAGACATAGTACTCGTAGCAGGTGACTTTAATGCCCAGATAGGTAGCTTAAACCAAACACAAAGGCATTTAGGTGGCTATTTCAGTATTCCGGCACAGCGAACAGATAATGGTTATCGTCTGCTGCAACTGTGCTCAGACAATCGTTTATTTTTAGAAAACACATAAGGAGAGACATCGTCTAATATGGCGACCTCCTGCAACAAACCAACGATGGACTCAAATAGACCATATTGCCATCAGTCATCGTTGGAGAGGGTCGGTAGAAGATTGTCGCTCATTCTGGAGTACCTGCTTGGACTCCGATCCCGCCCTAATACGGGCACGCATCTGCTTGCGCCTCACTGGACGCAAAAAAGCCTCAGTAAAAAGACCCATTAGAACTGAATTGAGTAGCGAGAAAACCAAAAGTAGGTTCCAGGAACAACTGAGGTCACACTTAGGTAGTTCTGAAAACGACTCTGACCCAGATGTTGCATCGAAAGATATACAAACAGCTGTGGAAACAGCAGTGACATCTATCAGTGATTTAAACCACAGGGTTACAAAGAACCAATGGATTTCTTCAAGGTCTATTGCACTGATGGATTCTCGTAAACTCATCCCATCAGGCTCTGAACACGATGAAGAGCGTAAACAAATCAGATCTAGGTTAAGCAAAAGTCTAAGGAACGACCGTGAGCAGTGGTGGGCAACGAAAGCAAAAGAGATGGAAAAGGCGGCGGCTATAGGGAACACAAGACAGGTCTACAGACTAATAAAAGAAACTGGAATTAATAAGTCAAGTGTAAGTCAGAGATTTCGGAAAAAGGCGACACTCATCTGCTCCCAGTCCAGACGTTTAGAACGATGGGCGGAACATTTCAGAGAACAGTTCAGCTGGCCTTCAGCTACTCTACAACTACCCTCCATTCCCAGACAGTGTGAATGGAACATTGAAGTAGGTCCCCCAACTCTAGCTGAAGTTCAAAAGGCTATAGTTAATCTGAAACGAGGAAGGGCAGCTGGTCCAGATGGATTGGCTCCAGATGTCTTTAAGGATGGTGGTCCAATTTTAGCGATTAGGTTGACTAATATTTTAGCTAAGATCTGGGAGTTAGACGTTATTCCATCTGACTGGTCACAATCACTTATCGTCCCAATATATAAGAGAGGGTCAAAATCATCCTGTGACAACCACAGAGGGATTAGTTTAACAAATATAGTATCTAAAATACTAGCCTCGATAATTATCGGACACCTAACTAAGACTCGTGAACTGCAAACACGAGAGAATCAAGCTGGCTTCAGACCTGGTCGTGGCTGCATCGACCACATATTCACCATTCGTCAGGTTCTAGAACACAGGCATACTTATCGGCGTCCGACAATGGTGGTCTTTCTTGACTTAAAAGCAGCATTTGACTCGGTAGACCGCGAGATTCTGTGGCAGTGTCTGTCATTGAAAGGCGTACCTCAGAAGTACATAAACCTTGTGAAGGCTCTTTACTCGAACACTACTAGTCGAGTCAGAGCTTATGGCGAACTGTCATCTACTTTTGCAACCTCAAGTGGTGTCCGTCAAGGCTGTCCACTTTCTCCATTTTTGTTTAACTTCATCATAGATCTACTGATGGAAATAACATTGTCGTCGACTGAATTCTCGGGTATTGATCTCCTTCCAGGAGGTCCACTTATCGACTTAGAATACGCAGATGACATAGTCCTGTTTGGTGAAGACGCTGATAAAATGCAGAGTCTTTGGTAGCACTAAGCAACAATGCCAGAATGTTTGGATGCGCTTCTCTCCCTCTAAATGCAAGTTGTTGCTTCAGGACTGGTCTGCGTCAACACCTGAACTAAGGATAGGGAGTGAAGTAGTCGAACGAGTTGACAACTTCACTTATCTTGGAAGTCTGATCAGCCCTAATGGGTTGGTGTCTGACGAAATCTCAGCACGGATTCGGAAAGCTCGTTTGGCTTTTGCCAACTTACGTCACCTTGGCGAAGGCGAGATATCCGTCTATCAATAAAAGGACGAGTATACTGCGCGGCAGTCCGTTCTGTTTTAATTTACGGCAGCGAAACATGGCCATTAAGAGTAGAAGACACCGTAAGCTACTAGTATTTGACCACAGATGCCTTAGAAATATTGCTGGCGTCTGCTGGGATCACCGGGTAAGTAATAGTGAGGTTAGACGCAGGGTATTAGGGAATGATGGTAAATCAGTTGATGAGGTTGTTAATCTTCATCGACTGAGATGGTTGGGCCACGTGTTACGTATGCCTGAACACCGATTACCACGACGTGCAATGCTAACCGGTGTTCGGGATGGTTGGAAGAAAGTTAGGGGCGGCCAAACCAAAACGTGGCATCAGTGATTGAAGTCACTAACTTCTAGTCTGAGCCATGTTGGTAGATGCAGACTACTTGGTTGGGGTCCGCGTGACTTTCGTAACCAATGGTTGGAGACTCTTGGTGACATGGCTCAGAATCGATCACAATGGCGTCGATGTATACACTCTCTGTCTTCCCTAAAATTAAGAGATTAAGATCGCTCCATATCTTTCTTTTTACGAACTAAATCTTTCTTCCTGTACTATATCCTTATATTCAGTCTTTCTTTTATATATTACCATCATCAACTTAACTACTCCTATGAATCCGGTGTTCATCTTGTTGTGTTAATGTGGTATGGCAACTTGGACCGATGCATATATGTGCCTGGTCCTACGTTGTAGCTGACTGACTGAAGAGGAGAATAACTTTCTTTGAATAAATCTTTAGTATCATTACATATCAACGAATTACCCACTACAACAACAACTACTACTTACTGATTGAAAGAAACAGTTATAAAAACAATGAAAAGTACAAAGACAAATTACTAAGTACTAACTTCTTATTCTAAACACTATACACAATTGTGATTACACTTTTATATAAATAAATAATTTACAGAATATGCATATACAAAGAAAAGGAACGTGAAAAGTGAATAACTATTTCTATGTGTTTAGATACAATTGAGTAAACATAATGGGTAGATCAAAATGACAAAACTAACACTACATAGAGACTACCTCATATATGCTTCAATCCCAAGATTATAACTGTTTATATCAAAATCACATTTCAAAGTGTATAACCGGTACGTATGTTCACAAATAAAGCGAAAGTCCTTTTTATTGGGAGCATGAAATGGTATTCGCCTTAGTGGTAGTAATAAACATACTAGCCATCTGTCTTCTTTATAAATACTTAAGAAAAAGGGAAGGAATAATGAAGTGAACATTTCTTTCGCTAGAAAAAAAGAGAAGAGTCTACTGTTAAACAGAGCAAAACAAATAAACATAAGGGGATTGTTATTATTAGGATAAGGCGGCTGCAGTTGAATCGATGTAATTATTATTCAATTCTGAAGGATGACGATCAGTGAAGAAATAGGAATTTAATTTTTTACCACTGAATTGTTTCTTCGTTGTAGGTGGTGTTGATGATGGTGGTATTAACTTTGATGCATTGAATAGATCTGGATTTGGGTTAAGTTTTATTTCGCTATCAGTAGTATTGGTATTATTATTATTACTATTATTATCATATATTATGGGAGGAATACCAATAGGTAAGCCTACATGACATAATTGTAATGCAGCTTTATGAAGTTTTGCCATAAATTCTTCAATAGCTGGGAGAAAAAAATAGAATTGAACAATAATAAGAGATAATATAAAGGAATTTTATTTGTACAACTCAATTTATTTTGGAAATATTTTATCCAATCAAAGCTTAAATAAGTATCGTTTTAAAAAGGATAAAACCAATAGATTCGTTAGATAAAAATACCACTACTGGTTTCGAGTTCCAGAGTGAACATCAACTCTGAGATGCAGGTACATCCAGCTGACGAGTCCCAAATAGGACGAAGTGGCGCGCGTCCTGGATTCCACTGCTAGCCACTATCCATCATTGCTTACAAAAAGCTTGTGAATTAAGGTAATATCAAGCATACGCACAGTATGCACATATGCCGATAACAGACTGATCAATTGCAGTCCTAAACCTCAATGGGAAGATACAAGCCAGACAATACTATGTGAAGTATTGTAGTTATTATTTAATGTTTTTTCTTTAATTTGCAGAAAACTTGACATCAATCCATAAAGTCACTAACTTTTGGTCTGAGCCATGTTGGTAGAGATCCGCGCGACTAACTTAACGAATGGTTGGAGACTCTGGGTGACAGAGCTCAGAATCGGTGTATACACTCTTTATCTTCTCTTAAACTGTGAGATTAAAATTACTTTATACCTTTCTTTCTACAAACTAATTTTATATAAAATTTTATTTACTACAAGTGAAGTGACTGCTTTTATGAATTTGGTGTTCATCTGGTTGTGCTAATGAGGTATGGTAACTTTGAACCAATGCATATATGTGCCTAGTTCTACATTGTAGATGACTGACTGCACAAGTTTCAAGAACCATTAACTTGTCGTAGCCGATTAGGTATCTTGGATTATTGAAATGATCGACAGGTTTAACTGCCTTACTTTTAATAATTAGATTAATTATTGATGCAGACCATTTTCAATGGAATCATCTTCATTTGAAACTTTTAAAAGGTTCTGGATTTCGTCAATCTCTTCAGCTAACAGGACTATGCTTCATGTCTATTCTAAGACATTGAGATTGTCACGGTGTAGGAGATCAATACCAGAAAATGTGAGAATGCAAATATCACCTCCAAGAGTATATATATGATAAAATCAAGTAAACATGTTAGAAGTGGGCAAATAACGTAGGCAATCCAAAAGACACTTCCCCACATACTCTAACCGAACCATAAATGTCCGGGTACAGAGCTTTCGGTAAGTTCATATAAATTATTTGCATAATCTTGTAGAAAGACATACAGTCACAAGATTTACCGAACACTGGTTAATACCATTGAGTTAAGGGACAAGACTACAGTAGACGTCGGTAACTATGATAAAGATTAAAGGAAGAGTGAAACTTGGATCTATGTATTAACAACTAGATCATGAAATCTGTACGACTATCTGAAGGACTTGTTACTAAATATTACTAATATTTATGAATTATATTAGTCAAACTTATTTCTCTGTATTTATCATAAAGGGATCATTGATTGTGATCAAGCGAATAGAATAATGTACATCTAGATCCCGTCAGCCATTCTGATACTCTTCGACCACCATCCATATAACTATATCTTTTAAGATCTTTTAGTCCTATTGATACAGATAATGTAGAAACGACTATCTATTGTGATTCAGATCAAAAATGCGTATCTTGATTACAAACATTCTGCTACATCTACACACTTGGAAGACAAAGGGGTGACGAACAATATATACTTGAATGTGGTTAGACGTATAAAACAAACTGTCACCTGATAATATGAATGGCCAAATAAAAGCATATACAAAATAAAGTCAACAAATAAACTTACCTCTGACAGAAAATAAATTTATTGGGGATCCATTAATCGGAAGACACGGATCATCATAATATATTAAGTAGTAATTAAGTCCATTCTATATAAGTTTAAAAAAAAACCGTAGTAAATTTCAATAGAGAGAAAGTGAAATAACTTATAAGACATTAAATATATCCACTTTATAGTTATTTTTCGCAACAATCGTGTAACAATAACCATGATTTATCATAATTTAATTACATACTTAAAGCACGCTTTGTTTTGACCGTCAGATTCATTTGAATAAAAATACTTAAAATCAACCGGTGGCTTAATGGTCAAAGCACTCCATTTTTTAACCGGTAGGTTCAAGGCTTATAAAACACTCCCATATACTTCGAATCCAAAAGCCTTCACATAAACTAAGGTGTGACTGAAAACTGAATAATATATAAACCTTTTCTCGGTAGGTGGAGTTAATCAAATTATAATTTAGAGATTGTGCTATACATATATAATACAAATAACTAAATGGTGCTTACTTGATTGAATTCTCCATGTGACTCAATTAACATCTCAGAATGATATTCATGAACTTGAACAAGGTCTCGTTTTCTTATGTTTTCCCATGAAGACTTTACTGAAAAAATATCAGAAGATTGGATACATTTTTCTTTAAAATCTGCTGAGCATCGAGAAATTAGATAGGCATAGCGTCTAGTAGAAATGTTCTTAGTTGTACTGTCTTGAGATAAAAGAATTGATTCTGAAGGATTATCTTTATGAAATGCAAGTGATTTCTCCGTATTCATAGAAAATTCATTAGGTTGAATCCACCAACGTCTTACGTAAATATATTCTCGATTGACCATAGGAAATGGAAAACGTACAACCCAGCGAATAATATCTAAATCTTTAATATGTGTATTGTTATTCGGTGTTATACACTGCAATTCTACAATCTTATCATCCCATTTTCGTCGATAGTCCAAATTGAGTTGTACTTCCATAAACGATGAAGCTGATATATCACGAAATTGTCCACAAACTATTAAACAAGCATAAAATAGAACGAAGACTAAGAATGAATTTTTAACATGTAAAGCTGTGTGTGCGTAAATGTAGAATCCAAATTTAAAAAGTACAGTGTTTTCGAGCACACAGACACAAGACAGAATACAGTACGGATTGATATTAAAGTTTCAGGAAGATAAACCCACCAAAAAATAATGTTTTAATTCGAAGCATAAATTATTGGATTATGAAAGATTCAACTGACGAACACAGTCATTAGTATATTGCCCAGGTAGAACAAGAGACAGATATCCCATACATAACTCCGCTTGTAGCCCGTCTAGGGTCCGAAGCGCGGATAGAGGAGGAGGGTTAGGCAAGAGGTTAACAACTTCATCCCGTAGAAAACAACCGTGCTAAAAACGATAGCCAGAATAAACATTCTAAACAACTTAAGCTCTGTCCTGGTAGTTGAAGGATCTTCATTTAGAATTATGACGCCTAATGGTGAAAGGCGAAACTCTCCGGAATTCACGAGGCCAATGTTCGGACAACGTGAGAAACCAGAAAGACCAGTCAAATAGTTATGAAAAGAGGTGATACGACTTGGTGGTGCTCGGAATCAGTGAAACCCATTGGATCCAAGCTGGATAGAAAAGGTTAGGTACAGGAGAGATGCTGTACCCTAATCACGAAGAAGAAAATGCTTCACAGGGAGTTGCTCTGATGCTGTCCAATGGAGCATGAAATGCACTTGTCTCATGGATCCAGAATCGTCAAAACATACTTCAAAACAAAAAAAGTAGGGAATCACAACGAATGTAATCCAACGTTATGCACCCACCAATGAGTTGAAAAAAATAGAATAAGAAACAAGGCTGCTCATTATAATAATAACTTACAGATTGAAAATATAAAACTCCCAACCATAGGTGATTTACGCCAGTTTTATGGTGAAAGTGTGTCATTTAGGCATTTTTATTGAGATTCATAGATTGTGATATGTCTTGCATTACAGCACCTTAATAGTATGATCATCTATACTATGCATCTGAATGATGAAATAGTACACATTTTACCACTTACTCCGCTTTTCTTCTTGTTGTTCTAGATGAATGCTTTAAAAATCAAGTGTGTATAACTTACAGATCGTTAGTACAATTGGGTATCAAAATAAACATGCACTACACAAATTATAAAGTGAGAATTTGAAGAAATCGAAGAAGGAAGGAAGGGGAGTTTAATCAAAAACAAATAAACTAAAAAGAACAAGTGAACGAGATTAGTATGTAGTGGTTTTTTTATTTAAACATAAATTCAAGATACAAATGAGTTTCAGAATAAATATGCACCGCACAAATAAGACAATGAAATGGTAAACAGATAGATGGAGGTGTTGTGATTTTAAGCCGGTTAAATATCACGTGACTTACTCGCCAATCAGAGTACGACTTATGCAATTTTAGCACTGTGCCAAACCAATTACGTTCAACCGGTATGAGCAGCCTAGCGTCCTCCTAGCCCTACCAGTTGAGTTCAGAACACCAGTACCAGCTTCCACTATAAGTCATTTACTTCAAATATACCTGGTTTGTATACCAGCCAAACAGACCACATCATACCATAAAATAGGAAATAACATTTGTAAAAGATCAAGCCAAAATGTGGCTGTGATTGTGGGAGACGGTAATTAATAAACTGAACATGACTTAAGAACAGTAAATCGTATGGGTCAAAATAAAGCTTGTAATAAAAGGAGTATAGATATACATAACCTAGTTACTGAATAGTTATAAAATAAGAATATACGTATAATATTTGTCAATAAATAGTTCTCAGAAGTTACCGATTTATGAACATAATAAAAATCTCCAATTTTATCGAATGAATTATCTCGATATTAACAAAATAATTATGAACTTTTTCTGGCTATCTTTTATGATCTGTGTTTGCTAAATGTGGTTAAATATATTGAATAATCGCTACACAGATTTTGAACTGCATTTCATGCTTTCTGGTATTTCAGTTAGTCATAATCAACATAGTCTGGCATAAATGTACAGTAACTCAATTTCACATACTAAATGAACATGGTAAGATGGAATTAACAAGCGGAATAGTAAAAGAGTAAAAACAATAGTAGCATCAATTGTTATATCCCAACGAGAATTATGAATACTAACTGTTGGGATCCATTTATGGACTAATACTATACATATATTTTTATTGCATAATTGTTAAGTAGCTAAAATATGCATATTCATATTCCCTTTATTATAAGCTTTATTTCGACCCATGGACTATTATTATACGATTTGCCATTATTGAGTTATACTTAGTCTATTACATACAGTCTCCCACATTCACAGCCACTTTTGGCTAAATGTTGTACAAGTGTTATTTACCATAATATGTACGATGTGGTCTCTTTCGTTTGTATATAAACCCAGTATGTTTGAAATACATTATTCATATCGCAGAGGCTGAGATTGGTGTTCTGGACTCAACAGGCAGGGTTAAGAAGGAAGAAGGACCGATAAGAACTGTAGACTGCTCGTACGGGTTTACGCGTTATTGGTCCGGTCGATAAATCACTGTTCTTTAATTGGCAGTGTCACTACATAATATATTAATATGGCACGAGACCACAAGTTATAACGTTAATCATGATGAGAGAGATTAAACAAAATCTCATCGACTGATCTGCTATTTTTGTCTAGTATCCTGTGCCCAATCTCACAATGGGCCAATCCATTGCTTCATGATATGCGAGTAATGCTCCGAAGACACTTGTGATAAAAAGCATGTAGCCTATATGTCTTATATCTTCATAGGCCATGTTTCACATTCACTCAGTAATACAAAGTGAACTCCTGAGCCGTGTACTCGCCTATTTGATAGGGAAATAGACATCTCGCCCACGCTAAGTGACATAAGTTTGCAAAAAATCGGGATTTCTAAATCGATACCGAGATTTCACCAGGCACCAACCGAACAAGGCTGATGAAGCCTTTGAAATAAGTGGGGTGGACAAGGAGCTCAACTACTTTATTCTCTGTGGCCAGTCTAGAAATCGATAACAACTAGTAGTGAGAGAACTTTTGTTATTTAAAGGGAGAGAAACGCGTCATGAATATGGGTGTGTTGTTCCTTAAGGCTTTTAGTAAATTCTGGATTTTGTTGACGTTTTTGCTAAACAAAACCATACTATCTACGTATTACAAGTCCATAGGTGAGCCTTAGATAGAGAGATAATCGAGGTTAAACTAAAGCAGAGTTATCAATAAAATAATTTCCATGACAAAGTTAAAGATAAGTGAAGAAAGTGGGCAACTGTGACGAACACCATTTTAGTTGGCCAACTTTGATGACAGTGAGTCGTAAGTCCTAACACGATGTTCAAGTGAAGACTAATTAGGTTTAAGTATTTTCTGGGGGACACCTTTCGATATTTAAATAACGAATACTGCCGACCGTTGTTTCTACGTTGACGTGGTGGTCGGGCTTGCCTATCGTGATGAAGCAACCAAAGCTATACTGGCTAGAACAAGCGTTCCTAAAGGTCCTACAATGCCAGACAAGTCGCTTGAAGAGCGGTAAGACTAAAAGCAACAAACCCAAGGTTCGAAGGCGAAGTCGTACTGTTGACTGTACGGAGGTATGACAGTAGTAAGCTGTTTCCTTCAGACAACCAGCATGACAGCGATGCTGCCTTCTCACAAGGAGGGGTGAGGTTAGAAAAAGTCGACCCTAAAAATGCACACCTCGCCTCATCCCACGGATATCTGTCTCCGGCGGTAAGGTCTCAACAAGTACGAGCTAACAAAAAATAACTCATAAAAAGGTCATATGTGACCGACCTCAAGCAGTTGTCCCTTGAGCACTTTGGTCATGCTCTCGGGTCACTAAGACCACCTCTAATCCTATTTCCTTTTCAGGTACCTCCAGAAACCCTTCAAAGGTGTGGGCAACCGGGAAGTGATAACCGCCCTCATACGCCTAACAGCACTCAAGACCACTGTATTCCTGATCAACCTCCGTCTTCACTTCCTATTACTCCTTCTACATCGACTTTCACCTCTAAACTTCCTTCTCAAATGTCACTATAGCCAACGACTCTAGTGCTCAAAACACTGTCCCACATCTACTGAAACCTCGCTCCAAACTACACATTGCAGCCTTCAACGTACGCACCTTATGTCAAATCGGTCAATAGGCTTCCTTGGCTAGAACACTAGAATCTCGTACCATTGATGTATGCTGTGTCTCCGAAACAGGCATACAGGATCCCAGTGTGGTCATTCACTTGACCTCACCTCGGCAAAACGGAGAACCAACGAGATACACCCTCCGTATATCTGGTGACCCGACGACCAGCCCTCGTGGACTGACAGGAGTAGGCATAGCACTAAGCATGAGGGCGGAACAAGCACCGTTAGAGTGGATCCCCGTTAACAGTCGTCTATGTGCTGTTCGGCTAAACGGCTTCGTAAGAACTCGGACGCAAAACAGCCTCAGTAAAAAGACCCATTACAACTGAATTGAGTAGCGAGAAAAACAAAAGTAGGTTCCAGGAACAACTAAGGTCACAATTAGGTAGTTCTGAAAACGACTCTGACCCAAATGTTGCATCGAAAGATATACAAACAGCTGTGGAAACAGCAGTGACATCTATCAGTGATTTAAACCACAGGGTTACAAAGAACCAATGGATTTCTTCAAGGTCTATTGCACTGATGGATTCTCGTAAACTCATCCCATCAGGCTCTGAACACGATGAAGAGCGTAAACAAATCAGATCTAGGTTAAGCAAAAGTCTAAGGAACGACCGTGAGTAGTGGTGGGCAACGAAAGCAAAACAGATGAAAAAGGCGGCGGCTATAGGAAACACAAGACAGGTCTACAGACTGATAAAAGAAATTGGAATTAATAAGTCAAGTGTAAGTCAGACGATTTCGGAAAAAGGCGACACTCATCTGCTCCCAGTCCAGACGTTTAGAACGATGAGCGGAACATTTCAGAGAAAAGTTCAGCTGACCTTCAGCTACTCTATAACTACCCTCCATTCCCAGACAGTGTGAATGGAACATTGAAGTAGGTCCCTCAACTCTAGCTGAAGTTCAAAAGGCTATAGTTAATCTGAAACGAGGAAGGGTAGCTGGTCCAGATGGATTGGTTCCAGATGTCTTTAAGGATGGTAGTCCAATTTTAGCGATTAGGTTGACTAATATTTTAGCTAAAATCTGGGAGTTGGACGTTATTCCATCTGACTGGTCACAATCACTTATCGTCCCAATATATAAGAGAGGGTCAAAATCATCCTGTAACAACCATAGAGGGATTAGTTTAACAAATATAGCATCTAAAATACTAGCCTCAATAATTATCGGACACCTAACTAAGACTCGTGAACTGCAAACACGAGAGAATCAAGCTGGCTTCAGACCTGATCGTGGATGCATCGACCACATATTCACCATTCGTCAGGTTCTAGAACAGACATACTTATCGGCGTCCGACAATCGTGGTCTTTCTTGACTTAAAAGCAGTATTTGACTCGGTAGACCGCGAGATTCTGTGGTAGTGTCTGTCATTGAAAGGCGCACCTCAGAAGTACATAAACATTGTGAAGGCTCTTTACACGAACACTACTAGTCGAGTCAGAGCTTATGGCGAACTGTCATCTGATTTTGCAACCTCAAGTGGTGTCCGATAAGGTTGTCCACTGTTAGATGCAGGGTATTAGGGAATGATGGTAAATCAATTGATAAGGTTGTGAATCTTCATCGACTGAGATGGTCGGGCCACGTGTTGCGTATGCCCGAACGCCGATTACCACGACGTGTAATGCTAACAGGTGTTCGGGATGGTTGGAAGAAAGTTAGGGGCGGCCAAACCAAAACGTGGCATCAGTGCTTGAAGTCACTAACTTCTGGTCTGTGCCACGTTGGTAGATGCAGACTACTTGGTTGGGGTCCGCGTGACTATCGTAGCCAATGGTTGGAGACTCTTGGTGACATGGCTCACAATCGATCACAATGACGTCGGTGTATACACTCTCTGTCTTCCCTAAAATTAAGAGATTAAGATCGCTCCATATCTTTCTTTTTACGAACTAAATCTTTCTTCCTGTACTATATCCTTATATGCAGTCTTTCTTTTGTATATTACCATCATCGACTTAACTACTCCTATGAATCCGGTGTTCATCTTGTTGTGTTAATGTGGTATGGCAACTTGGACCAACGCATAAATGTGCCTGGTCCTACGTTGTAGCTGACTGACTGACTAACGAATACTGTTAGCCTCCATAAGCAAAAATTAATAAAAACTTGTTGGGATATTCAGGAAAATATCCCAAAAATTATCCTGTTAAGCCTAATGCTATCCTTGGACATGAGATGATATCATCTTATTGGTCAATATTTATTTAACGTGTTATTTTCCTGTTGGCCAATATTGTACAATGTTATTTTCTATTTTGTGGTACGTTGTGGTCTGCTTGACTGGTATATAAACAAAGTATGTTTGGAATATAATGATTAATAACTCAGAGGCTGTGACTTGCGTTCTGGACTCAACTGGCTGGGCTAGACAGGGAGGCGGGACCAATCAGAACCCTAGGTCGTTCTACGTGTTTGCGCGTCTCTGGTCCGATCAATAATTCGCTACCCCTCTAATCAGCAGCATTTCTCACGTTATAACAAAACTGGTCAGTAAAATACTACTTTAAAACAAGAACCTATTCTAAACCACTCACCTCGGTACTCGTACTTGACATTTGATTTTGGGGGATTACATTCACCATTTATCTGAGGTACCATCAGTGGTCTACGCCAAACGCGCATACTTGTTCGATCATAAACAAGTTCCCACGACTCATCAACAAAACCTGTACCATCTGGCTGAATATTTAAGTCCATAAACAACGACGAAAGAGACGCAGTAAAGTGATCTTCATTTGAAATTTCATTAACATGAGGATCTGCATCACAAGCAGATATACAAGAATCACCAACGACAACTGGCTCCGTAGTAGGACGTGAAAACATTGATGTCCGATTCAAATATGTTTTACGTAACTCCCGTATCATTAAAGTCAGTGGTGGGTCCCATGATTCAGAGCACTCGTTTCTCGTACGATCTTCAAATGGTGAATGGGTATCCTCTTCACTAGTATCATCTTCCACAACAACAAATGGACTACTTTTGTTGGAATTATTTGAGCTACCATTTACTGAAAAACTTTTCAGAGTGCTAAAGATAAAACAGAAATGAGAATAGTCACTAGCTTTACTTACGTTAGGACCTCTTCATCAGTAATTTTGTCTTGAGCAAATGAAATTAAAGACCCTCCAAGTAAAACTTTCTGAGTTATAAACAACCGAGAATCTGTCTTTATGTTTGGGTGTAAGCTGAAATATTTTTCACGTAAACGACGGACGATTAATGTTCCTGAGTGACGACATAAAAACAGATTAGCTAGTAGTGTCCGATGAGTAGATGACAGGAATCTCGAGAATGTGGAATCAGGTTGACAGCATGCTTTTTCTATCTGCGACGACAAGCTTAGGGTAAGAGAATGGAGTTGAACGGAAATAGGAGATTGTAAAACATATTTCTGCAATTCAAAAGTAGATAAAGTATCTTATATATAAAACCAAATACTGAACAATAGGCTTTTATAATGAAGATAATTGAGTAATTTATAGATTATACAAAGAAATGGAGGATAGATGGATTAGCGAATCAAGTACTTAGTATTTTATTCTTAAGTAACAAGCCCGGACACTGTCCTACCTAATTTAATTTGAGAAGCCGAACATTATATGACGCCAGACACAGAACACTTATCATAAACAAAAGTTAACATATATGTACTTAGTAAATTAGCTAAATCATTACAAAGAGAAACCACAATAATCAAGTATTGATCAGTGTCCAGGAAGATCTAAAATGAAAATAGCAATTAACCTTGAAAACAATAGTTATTCGACAGGATAGGGTTTATGCAACTGATTTCTCAGTATCATTTCTCGTAAATAAACCATAAACGAAAAAAGGACTACGATTTATGACGAGATATCCCTTGATAAAATTTCTGTTGAGGATGCGAAATCCTCGAATATGGTTTATAAGGTGTTGTAACGGGTGTGTGTGTGGACTGCAGGTTTTGATAAGCAGCGTATCTATCGATCGCCTCTGTGACAGTGGACACGTAAACACGGACGGACGACCTAGTGCCCTGATTGGTCCCGCTTCGCAGTCTGTCCTAGCCAGTTGAGTCAAGAACGCAAGTCACAGCCTCTGAGTTATGAATCATTGTATTTCAAACATACTCTATTTATATACCAAGCAAACAACCCACATCGTACCATAAAATAGGAAACAACATTTGTACAATATTTAACAAGTGAAATAAACATCGACCAATAAGAAATGTACATTTAAGGTCCAAGGACACCATTGAACTTAACATGGTAATTATTGGTCTCTTTTTCCGACTATCCCAACACCTCCCCTTCTTTGAAAGATGCGGAGTTCATATCTGCGTTTTAAAATTTTCTGCGTCCGTCCTCCCCCGCGAAATAACGTTGGGTCCTCATAGACCCAAGCAACAATTAGTCTGACTCCATTTAAAGCATATTTCGCGCATTGAGTAGAGGGTTCACTAAAACTGACTAGATGATAAGGATTAGCGATTCCAGACATGACGTCATTAAGGTTTGATTTTTGTGCAACATATCCTTCAGACCTCTTCAAAATGCGATCACTGGATAATAGGTCACTAAAACAAACAGCACCTTTGAAATTCATATTAGATTTCTGACCATCATCTGATGCACGGGAAACATTTTCTGGCACGAGAGGTTCTTCTTGTAAGCTGGATACCTCACATGTTTCAGGCACAGTGGGATTTGAACCCACAACAGGGCATACTTCTGAATTGGACAATTCTGGATCTCTGAATGGATCATGAGCGACTACCTCGTTTGCATTACTGATCGTAAGGGATTCATAGAGGCTTTTGTTTTCATCTTCATATGTCCTGCAGTCATTCTCGAGTTCAGTATGCAGGTGAGAAATTAATTCGTCAACCTCTTTCACATCTCCGAAACACGGGAGATTTAGCAGTCGCGTGCGCATATAGTCCAAAACATTCAACTGGCTCTCTCTGTAACGATCTAGTAGTATCTGCAATTGATCGGAGGGGATAGTCATTTTCTGAATCAGCAGAGTAATGAGAAATACTGTAATCAACTAACAACCAATGACTCCCAAGGACGCCGACGAAAAATCTGGATACTGATTGGTCAGAACAATTATACTGAATCTCGTCCAATTACAGGGTTCAAAATTCTCTCTACCCCGTCGCCAATTGTTGTAACGCGTGTGTGAGACTGCAGGTTATGCTAGACAGCGTTTATATCGATCGAGTACAGTGGACACGGAAAACACGTACGAACGACCTAGTGCCCTGATTGGTCCCGCTTCGCAGTCTGTCCTAGCCAGTTGAGTCAAGAACGCAAGTCACAGCCTCTGAGTTATGAATCATTGTATTTCAAACATACTCTATTTATATACCAAGCAAACAACCCACATCGTACCATAAAATAGGAAACAACATTTGTACAATATTTAACAAGTGAAATAAACATCGACCAATAAGAAATGTACATTTAAGGTCCAAGGACACCATTGAACTTAACATGGTAATTATTGGTCTCTTTTTCCGACTATCCCAACATAAGGAAAATCGATATTGATGTAAGATGAACTTACGGTCAACCTCCAACAAACTTTCGTTACATTGCTTTAGAGAATTTCAATGCATTTTCACTGTGATCTGTATTTACTGACAACTAGTTAGTTCAAAAATTATAATTATCGTAATCGATATATGTGATAAATTTAAATGTATTTTTAATTTTACTAGGGTCGTCTTCAACAAAGCTTTTATGACGAAATTGAACTTCTAACCTTAGTCAGTGAAGCAGGAAATAGAAATCTCATCTACTCTATTGAAGTTGCAAAATGGTAGTTTAGCACACAAACATATTGCTATGCAATTCAAAATTAAACAGTCACCGGGCAGAAGCTCTACAAGACCAAAATACGGATCTGGAAAGCCATGTAAACATCTACCTATCTATCTTTGAGTTTTGCTTATTAAAAAAGAACCATATTATGTAGAACGATTAGGAATTTCATTCACTGGTTGAAAAAAGGTAACTCGGATCTCTGACGCATAAGCGAACTGGTGAATGTGACCAAACTTAGTAACTAAGAGCAAGCTTGCTTACTCAGCCACATATTTGTCAGTTCGTCAAAGACACCGTAAAACCTGGAATAAATATGCATTAGTTCAAGTTCTCACACCACACATCAACATAACAATAAAGGTAATTTAGGAAAGAAACGGAAATCAGGATGAAGGAAAATAATAATATTAGTTAGTGTATCAAAAAAATCGATGATTATTTTATACGGAGCGGATTAAATCAAAGAGGATTGGAGAAGTGTAATCAGAAACAAATAAATGAATAGGAATAAGCGAATAAGAATAGATTGTAGTAAGAGAAGCAAATCAATTTTAAAAAGTGTAATCAACTAAATGTCCCTCTCACCATTATTAAAGAAATAAAATGAAAACCATAGCAGAGCCGTCACTGGTATTTTCTTCGGAGCCATGTCGGATAACGTCTCTAGCCACCGAGTTGCACTATCTCTAGGACCCCAACCAAAGAGTCGTAAAGAACCAACAGAAACCAGTCCTGTAAAGCTCTCTTTAATACCACGAAATCATATCATACACCAACCACCTCACAGCTTTATCCAATCAGTTCCAGCGTCGGCTTATAAGCCACGATGAGGAAGCGACTAGCATGATACCATAGGTTTCAAATACGGGGTCTTGATGGGTTACATCCCCAACTGCTGTCATTTCTCGCAGACATTTCAAGGCCACTCGCGAAACTCGTTAACATGTCCCTTAACCCACACTCATCCTAGAGAGTGGAAAGATACTGTAGTTAGCCCTATATTTAAAGATGGTCAGAAACTGATCGTATCAAATTGTCGACCTGTCAGTCTAACCAACATAGTAGGTAGGTCACTTGAAAAAATAATTTGAGCTGAGTTATTGAGCCACATAGAATTATACAACCTGTTAACACCTGAGCAACACAGGTTTCGGAATAAGCTTTCACGCTTAACCAACTTACTAATCGCAGAGTATTGGGCATCAGTCTAAGATAATAGATTATATTTAGATGTGATATTCATAGATTTTAGCAAAGCATTTGGTAAAGTTTCTCGCTTATGGTTTATTCGAAAGCTTTCGAGATTCTTAATAACAGATCCCTTACAAGGATGGATAAGATGTAGTGTCAGTCATTATTTTAAGCCCATATATCTTATTCTAGTTTTCGGACATTCCATTCTATTCATTCTACTTGAGTCATATTTTGACCTTGTCAATTATTCGCTTATTAGCCTTGACTGTTTTCATATGAGCGTATATGTGTGAACACTTCATGTCCCATGACTCATCACATGTCTGTAGCTTTATTTTGTCTGTCTATAAATATTGAGTAACGCTTGATTAAAATGGAGTTGGCTTCCCAGCCATCCTCCCTGTGTGTCATTTTGCTTGGCTCTGTTTCATTCGCTTCATGTACAAAATATATGTATTCACAAACCAATTCTCGTTATTCGACTTATTTAATTCCGTTATTGGATAACGCGATTTAAGTCGACGATGATATACGAGAATAGGCGATAACAAACATTTATACGATCTTGGAGTCAGATCCACGGGCCACAAAAAAGAATCTCTCCGTAGCCAAAAATAGAGGGTGAGGGTAAATGGGACACTATCTGAATGGAGGCCGGTCAGAAGTGGTGTACTCCAAGGTATCATATTAGTTCCCTTGTTTTTCCTTCTCTACTTCAACGAAATGCCAAGACTGCTGTTGCGAATGATGTCAAAATCTGGAGAAAAAATAAGTGGTGAGGTTGATCTTGATCTTCAAGCTGACCTAGATGAATCAATTAGATGGTCCCAAAGGTGGGGATTAGGTGCTGATTCTAGAAAGTGTGCTAATGCTTATCAGACACGACAACGCTTACAAGCATACCATCAACGGCACATCACTTTCATGCCTGTAAAGACACAAGGACTTAGGGGTAACAGTAAGTAGTGACATAACTGCGCAGTGCAATGAATCAGCCGCTAAAGGTTTCTGGGAGTTACGGTCACTCTACTGAGTATTTAAATGCTTTGGATTTTATATCCCAAATATGTAAGACCACACCTAGTGTACTGTGTCCAAGCAGCTGGTCTAAGTCTTATTGAGCATACTGACACACTAGGTGTTCATTGTTCAAAATGGTTCAAATGGTTGTGGACGGAATAGAAGAAGCTTTCGCTTAACAGGCTTCCGTGTCTAGTAGCAGGGGATCACCAAATCCTCCAGGCAGGAACCTAGGTATGTTAACAATAAAAGAGGAAAAGAAATTGGTAAATCATAGTGTGATGCTGTCCTTGGTCCTTAAGAATAGGTCAAGTTGCCTCTTGAAGGACTCCTGAGAAGTCGCTTGGACTAGCTCGGCTGGCAG